AATGGAATTTTACCAATCACGTTCTACTCGCGTGTAGATTTCACATGCGTACTTCCTGTATTCTAAGAGCTTCCACACCGGTGTAAGCTCTTAGGAGCTTCTTTCCCAACTAACATCAGAAATGTTATCCGGGGTGTTGGCTCATTATACTTTACCAATGATAGTGTTCTGTAATTACCTACTCTACATATTAACGGAGCTCTGTTACACCACTCCCACGGCAAATTACTTTCGTGCCTTGATGGCACAAAGTGTTGTTCTAAAACACAGCAAACATATAATCATACAACATTTAACATGAACGATTAACGAACATTTCACCGTAACTAATTAACGCACATCAAACAATTTTTTTTCTTTATGACATACTTGCCTAACATGAACCGACTGCCTGTAACAGTAAGAAAAAAAACAATCAATCCATATTAGGGTGTATGAAACTCCTTTTAGTCGCCTTGTACGACTTGCAGAAAATGCAGTAGACGTATTCTGTTCGCCGGGCCTACTACATACAGTCGGGCATCTCCCGACGTATCACACTGAGCTGGGAAAGGTAATCAACAAAATTACATTGGTGCCGTGACCAGGATGGTCGTTGGTTGACTTGATGGTCAGTAAAAGTAATCAACTCGGTCACTTGATGGTCAGGACTTGATAGTCAGGACTTGATAGTCAGGACTTGATAGTCCGCACTTGATAGTCAGGACTTGATGGTCAGTAAAAAGTAATCAACAAAATTACATTGGTGCCGTGACCAGGATGGTCGTTGGTTTGGTCACGATTGTACTGTGACTGGCAATAAAATTAACATGCATGGAAAACTCCACTCATCGGTTTGTGCTTGATCATTGATGTTACCTCCGCCACGACGCTGCATCAAACACAGAGCATTACCTGACATCTCCTTCAAGCTTTACCGCAAACACGAAACAAGCAGAACAGTTAATAACACAACGCAAGAAGAATAACAATATCTAACCTACGATCACGCGCCTACGTACAGTCGGGCATCTCCCGACGTATCACACCGAACTGGGAAAAGTAATCAACAAAATTACACATGTAGACATACATACATACATACTGCTCTACATCATACAGAAGAACGGTGAGTGTACATGTATACATACATACATACATACGCACGCACGCACGCACGCACGCACGCACGCACGCACACATACATACATACTACTCTACATCATACAGAAGAACGGTGCGTGTACATGTATACATACATACATACTACTCTACATCATACAGAAGAACGATGAGGCTCTCTCTCATCCTCTCTCTCTCTCTCTCTCTCTCTCACCCCCTCTGTCTCTCTTTCTCCGTGTGTTTGCAGGCATATCTGATGAGAACCTCATGAAGCTGTGTCAGCACGGACAGATTCCGAACAACGAGCGTACGACGATGACCAACATGGGCTTGCTCGGTGTGAACATCATCCAAGAAGTAAGTAGCGGGCCGCCCCTCAGCATCAGCCTCATGCAGGAAGTGAGTAGCGCCACCTGGCGAGGGACGCGGCAACCGATGGCAGTGCGGGGCCCTGCCGGTGCGTCGGCGATCGATCGCGGAAAATTAATCGATCGATTGAGTGATTGATTCCGGTTGGGATGTTAGTTTTCGGTTGAGTCGCGCTGAGAGGCGAAATTATAGAGATTGCTGAAAAAAATTGCATAACGCACGTGCTCGGGGGAGAGGAGGGGAGGAGGGGAAGAGAGGAGGAGAGGAGGGGGAGGAGTGGAATGAGAGTAGGCGTAGAGGGGGAGGGGTAGGAGAGGAGGGGGAGG